ACATACTTTTAACAAAACCATTATACCCTGATTTCCCATTTTCAATGGTTCAGGGCTTAAAAATAATCCCAAACGTTAATCGCAATTCTCATAACATCTGCTGTTAATCTATCTTGGAGCAAAATACAGCACATTTCACCTTTTTATCTGATTTATACAATTACTTTTATTTTAATCTATTTTTATCGTACACTTGAAGCGGGGTCTCTATGCAATTAAAGACTTCTTTGCTTGCGAGGTCGTGGCGGATTCCAAGATACTGGTGTGTTGTCAGTAACGGAAACAATATTTAAGCCACCCATTTGCAGGCCTTTGATGGCCGACTACAATAATAAATTAGATGCATAAATAGAGAGGATTTTTATGTCATAAATATTATTATAAATACTTACCATTCTTCCGGGTCCCAGTCCACGTACTTTCACTCGAATTGTTTTCCATCCAAGCTCAACTGCTTTCTGAAAGAATAATCAATATTAGAAATCAAATAACATTGATTATCAAATCATTATTCCAACCGCGCCTATTGTAACCGCAGTGGCCTGTGCGGCTATATTCGTTCCTTTTCTGGTATTTTTAAATCCTTCAATTCCACAAGATCGTATCAGGCGTGGCACACCTACAGGATCAGTATCAATGAAAACATAAATTTGAAATCCCCCTTTTAGTGAATGTATTCGAAACTCGCCTTTATAGTCCGTCACCGATATTATTGTGTTATTGGGGGACACCCGGATATTACAAATGGGCAGCTCGTTGAAGGGAATTCCGTTGAAGAGCATGGTGGCAGTCGTCGCATCGGGGAAGGATTTTGCTCGTCTATTATATTAAATATAATACTATTTTAACATGCAATTTGATCAACTTATGCAGGTGGTGTCTTTGCTTACCGGTTGAACAGCGTGTCGATGTCGACAGATTTTTCGCCAGCGGTGCCCTCGTCTTTAGCCGGCAGCGAAGCCAACATTTCCTTGCGGTCTTCCGCTTTTCTCAATATCACGCTTGTGTGTATGAACGCATTCTTCGATGATATTGTGCATTGTTTAATGCAATTTATTCCAGCCAAAATCGAGGATTTCATAAACATTTTGAATATACAAATATAATTACAATTACATCACTAGAGTACAAATAGTCTGGCATCACTACACATTTTTGGTAGTGTTGGAAAATGAATCAGCATCAACAAGTTTATTTTGTGAATGGCCACTCCATATGAGCATGGAAGAAGCACATTTATTTTCACGTGTTTGAATCTATCAGTGAGACGCAGATAAATATCTTGAAATGGCTCTTAAACGACTAAAAAGTTAGTTATTAGTTTTTAATTATTAATAATTAATTATAATCAGTTTATTAATCACGAATACTTTTAGCAAAAAAATCAAAGCGTTTGACTGGTAAACTCAAGCACAAAATTGATAAGAAAGTGCGTGAACACAACCGCAAAGAGCGTCGTGAGGCAAAAAAGAATTCCAAGAAGGGCAGCAAGAAACAGAAACTAATACAGATTCCAAACATATGCCCGTTCAAAGACGATATCCTCAAGGAAGTGGAGGAGGCCAAGCAACGACAGGAAGCTGAACGCCAGGCCCGGCGAGAAAGGATAAAAGCTGACCGCGAAAAAAACAAATTCAAGTCGTTGGAGTCGATGGTGGAAGACGCCGATATGCGGGGCACTGTGCACGGAATAATGCATGAAGACAGTACCGCTGATGGTAATTCCAATGAAAAAGTATATAAAAACGCCGCCACGAAGGAGCAGTCGTTGAAGCAGTACTTTAAGGAGTTTCGCAAAGTGATTGAGAATGCCGACGTCGTTCTGGAAGTGGTCGATGCACGTGATCCCCTCGGCACACGGTGCACTGAAGTTGAGAGAGCTGTTCGCGCAGCCCCTGGGAACAAGCGACTGGTGCTAATTTTGAACAAAGCCGACCTTGTTCCAAGGGAAAACCTGAACAATTGGATAAAGTACTTCAGACGCAGCTTGCCCGTCACTGCATTTAAGGCTTCCACGCAAGACCAGGCCTCAAAATTGGGACGCCGTAAGCTGAGCGACATGAAGACAGAAAAATCCATGCAGGGCGGTGTCTGCATAGGAGCAGAATTGCTTATGTCTATGCTTGCCAATTATTGTCGCAATAAGAGCATCAAAACCTCTATTCGCGTGGGAGTTGTTGGAATACCCAATGTGGGCAAGAGTTCAATCATAAACTCTCTAACTAGAGGACGCTCGTGTATGGTTGGAAGTACTCCAGGTGTCACTAAGTAAGTAGTCCCCGTCTCTGAATTACAAATTCCCGCAATTACACATTATTGTAAAACTGATGTAACAACTGAGATATTATCAACAAATTGTTTAGGGCTATGCAAGAAGTTGAACTGGATTCAAAAATTAAGTTGATTGATTGTCCGGGCATTGTGTTTACAAGCATTGCCAGTGAAGGTAATCAAAATGCACATGCTGTGTTGAAGAATGCGCAGCGTGTGGGCGACGTCAAGGATCCATTTACCATAGCCGAGAGCGTTCTGAAGAGAGCCAGCAAGGAGTACTTCTGTAAGATGTACGACATTACCAACTACGACACGTTCGAGGAATTCTTCGCAAAGAAGGCAGCCAGAATGGGTAAGTGAATGTCGAGAGGTTTTTACAAAGCTGCTTTATTTGAATGTCCACACACCATCCATAGGCAAATTCTTGAAGAAGGGTGTTCCGGATGTTGTTGCCGCTGCTCGCAGTGTTCTGAACGATTGGAACACTGGAAAAATTAAATACTGTACTCAACCTCCTGAAGTTATAGAGAATTCGAATGTACACATAAGTTCTGCAATTGTGAATGCCGACGCGCGAGATTTCGACGTAGATAACTTTGAATCGATGGAGACCGACGTACTGAATCAGTGTCCCGAAAAGACGGATGATATTATGGAGATAACATCTACAGGTCCTCTTGAGTTGAGAGTGCCCCGTGAAGATACAGAAGTGGCTCCTACAGTAATAACTGAAAGCGAACCACCGTCAAAAGGTCGTAAAAGAAAATTGGATGACGATAAGAAGGAAAAGCCAGATCCTGTGCTACTGCTTGAGGGTAATTGATTTACACTACTAATTGATTGCCGTTAGTTAATAAAAACATGTTTTAATATTTTCAGAGAATCAATCCCTTAACAAAAATATAAAAGAGCTACAGAAGAAAAAGAAGAAACAAAATATACGGAACGAGAAAAAGATTTCAAGAATAACTGACGTTTTGGACAACTTTAGTTTGGGTGCACCATCGTCTAATACAGATAAATACGACTTTGACCAGGATTACAACATTGAATGACTGTACAATTAGAATTGTTTTATACAAGTCATAATCAAATATTATATATTTTATCTGTTGAAATAAATAGCGGTGTATCCCCCTCTAGCTTTAAAGCTGGTAGTTGCTTTAGTAATGAGAGTATTGATGATACGCTTTTTCGGTCGTAAATGGCATCTATATTTTTTTAAATCTGCTTAGCACTATTTGTATTATTGGCAAAAAACAATAATCACTCAAGTGGTCTATAATAATCTTCTTTGCCTTCATCGCATCCGTCAGTTCTAGGGGTTCTTCGTCGATTACTCATAATAGATCGTTCTTTTCTACAATAGCTCTCACTCGAATCTTCCAAATGTAATATTTATCTCCATCAAACGCTTTTATGTTCCTAATTCCGTAATCCATTCTGTTTCTACTTCACACTTATAAGCAGCTCCTATACAAATGCATTAAGATTCCGTTGTTTTAATCCTCCTTCCACTTTTATACAAAAATTTACGTTCAACAAAGACAGCCCTAAATTATCTTCTGCATTTTGCGAATATTACAAATATTTAGCCATAATACGAACAACATATTAAATATGTATGTTCCTATGTATACATGGATGTATATATGTATTTACATTCATGTTTGGTGTAGTTATCTTACATTAGCGTCTGCTAGAAGCACTCCTTACGCCGTCCTTACGCAGCCCTCTTGCATTGCCACTAACCTGCGATTGAGTTATATAACTGTTATCAGTCTTAAAGCCAATGGGGGTAAAATAAAAGTGGTGCTAATAATAGCTTTAGGTTCTTAAAGCAAGCAATATTATGGTATCAGTTGATGATGACTTGGTATATTAGTGTTTTATTTTTTTTAGGTTCTGCCAAGCTTCCTGAGCTGATTTAGATAGATTATACAAGTATCTAAGTTTTTGTGTATTACTTCCGATATTAGCAGCAGTTGAATTCATTTTATACCGAACTACAATGACTAACCATATACCAAATAGATGACACCACGATTGAGTGTCTTTTAACAGTAAATTGACATATATGATTAGTGGTTCAGGTCATATAATAAAACAGAAGCCGTAAATGACGTCCCAGAATAGAACTATTAAGTTAAATGTAAAATTAACGGAACTGCTCTTAGTGCATTGATCTCATACAATATTTTTCAACGCCAAAAATCTATGTATCATAGGTCTCAGTCAATAATTGTATTTTATATTGTAAATGTCTACATACAACTCTTTGTTGACTGTGTCGACTGGACGTCGAAGTAACTTTGTTATATACCCACCCATTGGGGTGTGACAACCGAACAGAAAGATATACATACATATACGACATGAAATATTGAAAGTGAATAGTTTTAGCTTGGGTTGTGAAATAGAACAGGCAAGATCTGTTTTCGTAATTTTAATATTTGTGACTGTGCTATAAAGGATACTCTCTTGCACTTAAATATTAAAATAGTAAATAGTGTAAATAATACATTTAAATAAAACGAATTACAAACTCTTATAATATTAATTATGGCATTGAGTAACATTGAGTGGATAGCAAAATACAACGATGACAATGAAAAATCAAAATCTGTATATAAGTTTAAATTTTATTACAAAATATTTCTTAAAACTTAACAGTACAACTACAACTATTAACGCTCAATTAATGTTTGATCATTTTGAAAATGCTGTCAGTATGAGCATACGCACATACATCCGCACATACGTAAGCATGTATGAACGAACGTACATCAGCAGATGCTTACATACATAATACACTCAAAATGACCCAAGTCCAAGCTGTTTTTAAAATTAGTGTTTACTATGTACTCATACGTACGTACTTATGGGTTTCAGAAAAGGGCGTATAGTTATTATAATATATTTTTGGAATTAAACTGTACAGGTTCACATATGTATGTATGTATGCGTAGGTAATTTCTGATGGTTCATAGTTTGTAGTTCGTGAGGGCCGTCGGTACCACAACATTATTTACGGATTTCCTAAAATGTAATCATATTTAGGCATTCTCCCATGCATCACAACAACTTCATACATTCTTTTGGCCTTTATTTGCGAAAACCCTTTGGTTTTACTCAAACTTGCATTTCCGTCAGATTGAAAGGCAACTGAGCTTAGGGTTCTGAATGGATGAAAAACTAAAACGCGAATTACATCATTTCAGAAATTCGCCGAAAGTTAAATAATTGCTATTTGGATTGAAGAAAAATATCAGAGCGTTTAAACATGGCTATATACGCTATCTACCAAAGATCAAATACTTTGAACCTTTTCCCAAATTATAAAAAAGAATACAAACAAAATCTGGCTAACATAATTTGTACTTTTGTAAGTTCCTTAAAAAATGTCAAATATGAATTGTAAACCATAATTCTTGGGGTGACTATTTAGGAAATCATTGAAGTTGTATGTGCTTTCATTGCTTTATCGACGACATCCGCTTCTTGCCTACCTTTCTTAAGTACATCTGTATATACAATTTGAAAAAAGATATGTACATTTGTTTAGTTTTCTGTACATACATTTGACATTTTCGGTCATTTCATGCATACATACTTAATACATATGCAAATGTACATGTAGAGTGAATCACAGGATTTTAATTTTACTATGTTCAACAATCAATAACTATTTGAATTTAACACTGTTAGCTCCGTCGCTGCGCATGCTTTACACATAAGTTAATTTCGATGTGGCATTTAGCAATTAATTGAAACACTTTTCATAATTAAGTTTAACTTTTTAAAGTATATAATTTGCAGTCCATTGTTGCCCCTTATGATTAGTTGCTTGCTAGCCCGTTTGCTGCAATTTCGAACTCCTTGTGCCAATTGCTGCTGGGAGTCATCTTAATGTACATGCTTACACAACCCAGTCTCATGCGCATCTTATAAACTGACTGTTGCTGTTGCTACCGGTAGTACACATAGGGCTTGTCGCCCATCGGGCTAGTGCTGACTGTTCCCGGTAGACGTAACACTTCTGCTGCTCCTGCTGCTCCTGCTGCTGCGAAGTCATAAGCATCAGCTGGCGACTGACATTGTCACCGCAAATGGCTGAAGTGTACTTCAAGCCAGCAGGGACAGCACATAATATCCTGTCGACGATACATGTTACCCCAGCCCTTGGCGAAACTGATCTTCATACTAAACCGATCGATTGGCCCCAAATGGGTCTGCTCCATCTGCTTTTCGGCCAGCCATTGAGCCCTGCTGAATAAGAAATCGAGTTAAGAACGTACAATATACATAAATGTATATACACACACAGTACCTGTGTGTTTCAAAGGCTTTGAGACAATAGCCCGGCATCACTTTACACACCCGGTCCCAACGCTCGGAAAGCGTTGGCGAGTCCACAAATATCGGCACATTGCTTCGATTATATATCCACACGTCCCCACACTCCAGACTTAAGGTCACACCTATGAGAAAAATATTCTTAAATTAAATACACTCCCTTGACCACGAGTTCACAACTCGAGCTTACCTAGACCGATCTTTGTACGCGTCTTTTGGACTGCATCCGACGATGTTTGCTTCCCACAAAATTCCCGTAGGCACATGTTCTCTCCGGTGCTGTCCACTGGTCCGTCTGTGTGGATATTAACTGCCAACCTCCTGGCGTGAAACAGGTCCCCAACGCGCTGCGATAGTTCCCAATAGGCAATCTGGCACCAAGCATTATTATTCGCTCTGTGATCTAAAATTGAATGAAAATCGGAGCATTAGCAAAAGTCGTTGACCTAATTTATATATATAAATAAATTACATGCATATATATATATATATATATATATATATATATATATATATATATATAT